AATTAACCAACAACTAACTGTTGTTATCAATTGCCTCTCATACTTTAATTTGTTGTTAAGGTGATCAGTTTATGTGCTTTTATCTTTTCAGCATTGCCAGGTGTCTTTTTCCTTCAAGAATGACAATTGGATATTTTCTGGGTTGCCATCTTTGTTGTACTGTCACCACAGTACCCCCCTTCCAGTATTGTCTATTGTGAAAGCTTCACCTGGTTTCTCTTTACGTGCGTGTGTGGGTTCTTCGTTGCCTCCTTCACATCTACTTCTTTAGTAATGAAAGCAGGTTTGAGCCTTTCTTCTGAAACTGTGGTCTCTTTTCCCTGGATGTCAATTACGAAAGTTCGGTCCGTTGGTCTACTGAGTACCTTAGACGGTCCAGTGTACGGTGGCTCCAGCGGGCGACGAACAGAATCAGTCCTAAGCAGGACGTGAGAACAGTTGTAAAGGTTTTTTAACACAAATGAAATATTGGTCCGGTGATGTGTTGCGGGAGTCGGTCGCACTAATCGCATGTGTTTGCGAAACTCTTCTATGAAAATCTGCGGGCTGGTGCATTGTTGGTCATCCTCAACAAACTCGTTCGGTAGTCGAATCGGGAAGCCATACAGCATCTCAGCAGTTGAAGTTTGCAGATCTTCCTTGAAACACGTTCGTAGGCCTAGCAGGACTGTTGGTAGTACTTCTGTCCAGGATTCTACTTCGTGACACATAAGTGCTGCTTTTAAAGAACGGTGCCAGCGTTCAATCATACCGTTTGCCTGTGGGTGGTATGACGTGGTGTGGACGTGTTTTGCTCCTATCATTTTGGTCATGGCTTTGAAATAAGCTGATTCAAATTGTAGGCCCCGGTCCGTTGTTATGGTTTGCGGGCATCCAAATCTCGCCACCCACTTTGACCAAAAAACAGATACTATAGTGTTTGCCGTAATATCCTTTAAAGGTATAGCTTCAGGCCACCTTGAAAAACGATCAATCATTGTTAAACAATAGCGATACCCTTTATCCATTGGCATCACAATGATGTCGATATGTACATGTTCGAAACAGTTGTCTGGCATGTCGATTTTAATTGGCCGAAAATTATTGTGTCTGTGTAGTTTTGCTCGTTGACAGGGTAAACAATTTCGCGCCCATTCAACTATATCAATTCGCATGGAAGGCCAGACGTATTTTTGTTTTTTCTGATGCAGGGTGGAGTGTGGTGTGACATGCCGTAAATTGATACGAAAACTTTATGACGCAGAGATACTGGCACGTATGGCCGAATTGTTCCTGTAGACACATCGTAGAACAAAGAATTTTTGTCGTTGAAAACAATTGCTTGCAGTTTCAAAGATGTTTCCCCGTGCAACAGCGTTTTTAACTCTTGATCGTTTTGTTGTTCCTCTGCAACGGTTGATAAACTGACAGCAGTTGGCAGCGATACAGCTGAAATGCGGGAAAGAGCATCTGCCACAGCATTGTCACTTCCAGATAGGTGTACAATGGTTGTTGAAAATTGGGAAATATAATCGAGATGGCGGAGCTGTCGTGGTGACGCCTTCTCTGGTTTCTGTTTGAAAGCATATATCAGCGGTTTATGGTCCGTTTTAATGACGAACACTCGTGCCTCTAGGAGGTGTTTGAAAAAACGAATGGCGCTATAGATTGCTAATAATTCTCTATCATATGCGCTGTAATTTTTTTCAGTTGCTGAGAGTTTTCTCGAAAAAAATCCGAGTGGTACCCAAGTGCCCTGGTCATATTGTTCTACGGCAGCGCCAATAGCAACGTCAGATGCATCACAGATGAGTGCCAGCTTAGCATCAGGTGCTGGATGTGCAATTAGTGCAGCATTCGCAACGCTGTGTTTACAGTTATTGAACGCATCGAGACTTTCGGGAGTCCAAGAGATTTTTCGTTTGTCATTCTTTTTGATGTTTCGTACCAGATCACTGAGCTGTGCTTGATGTTGCGATAAGTGTGGTATACAACGCCGGTAGTAATTTAGAACACCTAGAAACCGTGCTAGGTCACTGACTGTGTCAGGTTGTTTGAAATTCACTATTGCTTCAATGCGGTCCTGTGGTGGTTTAATGCCATTCTTGCTGACCGTGTAGCCCAGAAAGAGAGTTTCCGATTTACCAAATTGACATTTTTTGACATTTATCCTAAGTCTATGTTGGCGCAAAATGGTAAACACTGTTCGGAAATGACGTTCATGTTCCTCTATGGACGTTGAAGCTATGAGAATGTCGTCAATATAGCAGTACACGAAATCAAGGCCTCGAAAAATTTGGTCCATGAAACGTTGGAATGTCTGCGTCGCGTTTTTCAATCCGAACGGCATGTACTTGAACTCAATCAAGCCAAAAGGTGTGCTCACAGCAGTTTTTTGAATGTCATCCTCTGCCATTGGGATTTGGTAATAAGCTTTCACCAAGTCGAGTGCTGAAAACAGCGTTTTGTTGTGTAACTTTTCCGCAAAATCATGCACATGAGCGATAGGATACCTGTCCGGTATCGTTATTGCGTTCAATTTTCGATAGTCGCCACAAGCACGCTAGCCACCATTATTTTTCGCCACCATGTGTAGGGGACTTTCCCATGGACTTTTTGACAAACGGCAAATACCTTGGTCCAGTAATAGAGTGATTTCGGCTTTTGCCACAGCAAGTTTTTGTCCAGATAACCTTCTGGGACGATCAAATACAATGTTGCCTCTCGTCTCAATTTGATGAGTCACCCCATGCTTTTGAGTGTCGTGAAGTGACTGTTTCAACACTGGTCGTGTAATATCAACGAATTCTTTGAGCAGATTGCTGAACTTGGCTGTCTCATTTATTGTAGATATGGTTGATAGCGGAGAAGCTGAAAGATCACCTCGTGTATTAAGCTTCGTCGTCATGTCTATAAGCTGTTTGCTTCTTAGATCAACTAACAAATGAAAACGGGTTAAGAAATCAGCACCAATAATAGCAACTTCGACATCAGCGATGATAAATTGCCACCTAAATGATCTCCGTAAACCTAGGTCTAATTCCATTGTGTTGTTGCCAAATGTGGTGATGAGAGTTCGGTTCGCTGCGTATAGTTGGAGCTCTCCTTGTGTTGTTTTGAATTTCACCAAATGCCGTGGCACTACTGATACAACTGAGCCCGAGTCAACCAAAAAACGAAAACATGATCTGCGATCGACGACAAAAAGACGTTCACTATTTATGAGTGGTTGTATTTCTGCTACTGATGAATCACTGGTTATGTGGTCAAGTTGTTTGCTACTGCCGTCAACCAGTGTGTATGACGACAGCTTTTTTAGTTTAAAGGTGCCCATCGTGAGCAGCTTGGCTTGCACTTGGTGGCACCGTCCCCAAACTTGGTGTGATAGTAACACAATTTGCCATGACCTCGCTGTTGACCATTGACATCGCTTACAGTTTTGGGTGAACGCGATCGAGAACCGTTGCGACTTGTGATTGGTTTCCTGAGTTGGCTAACTTCAACTTGCAGCTTTTTAACCTGGTCGGTCAGTGGTTGAACAGCTGTGTACAAATCATTATGTGCTGTGCTGCACACAGTTGTCGTAGCCTGCTTAGCCTGTGGCGATACTTCACACATGGTCATTGCGTTTGTTGTTGAAGCCTCCAGCATCTTATCAGCTAACTTGGCAAGTTTATTTAGATCATCCTCTTCCCAAATTGCCAATACCGGACGAATCGATTTGGGCATTTTGCTGAGAAAAAGCGTATGAATGATTTGTTCGCTATTTGGATCCGGTGCAAGACGTTTCATATTCGAAAGTATTTCCGACGGATTCATACCCGTAGTATCTCCACCTTGTAGTAGGCAACTTGGATTCGGCTGATTCCGCAAATTTTCCCAACAAACGTGCCTTGAGTGTTTCATATTTATTGTTCGTTGGGGGATTTGTAATTAGATCTTCAGCAACCATCACAATGTCTTCATCTAAATTTACTGCCACCCAATCGAATTTGTCTGTGTCTTCTCGAATATTATTTAAACGAAAGACTCGTTCCAGTTGCGCGAACCATACTGATGGGTTGGTTTTATTGAAGTTCGGGACTCTCACATTGTGTCTCATGTTCATTTCAGTGGAGTCTACTTGTGGATTTACAGTTTGTTCTGCATTTACAGCCATGTTTTCGTGTGCCTGTCTGGAACGCAGCTTGCTCGTGTACTCTTGCATAAGATGCACTGCTTTGCTCGATTTTCCAACGGAATCACCACCTTAGCTGTTCCAAGTACTCTTGTTCTGCAACTTGTGATGACGATGTGCGTGTTGGATAAGCCCGTTAATAGTTTTAGTGAATGTTGTTTAGCGTTTCTAAAACTAATGTTACTTTGCCCTTTTTTTCTTTTTTAAATTTAGTTCTGTAAGTTTTTTAACTTTACTCGTTTCTTTTGACTACTTTATTTAAACTACAAAATTATACAAAACTACTTTCTTCAAACTACAATATAATACAAGTTTACTCAAGGAAAATTAACCAACAACTAACTGTTGTTATCAATTGCCTCTCATACTTTAATTTGTTGTTAAGGTGACCAGTTCATGTGCTTTTATCTTTTCAGCATTGCCAGGTGTAAAAAAGAGTGAATTGTAAAGTATTCCTAGTTTATGATCAAACCTTGAATAATGAGCTCTTGCACCAATTCACCTCCTTTTTTTACCCACGGTTCGAATGGGTTTGTTAAAATTGAAAAATAAATTAAAAAATCGACAATTGATATTTCGTTAAGCACGTGAACGCACGAACCATAATTTTATTTCTCGTATATTAAATATAGCAACAACAATGTAAAAACAGGTTTTTAAAAAGAAATACAAATGTTACAAATTAATTGTTACAATTGATTATTCTATCGTGATACAGAACATTTACACTTGATTGATCTCTAATTTAAAAAATAACATTAGTTAATATTAATACATATAAAAAAGAAAAATGTTATGATGCCAAGTTGGCTTAACATCCCGGCCCCTATTGAAATATTAAATTTCAATTAATTGGAATAAGTGCTAACTTAGCAACAGGGCGTCGTAAAACTGTTGTTGGTGTTTGTACATCAGCAACGCGAACACGTCCGTCAGCGCCTGTTTTCACACTCACAATACGACCCATTACCCATTTCATCGGAGGAGCGTGCTCGTCATAAATGATAACCAAGTTGCCAACTGCAACATTATCTTGATCATATTTCCAACGATATCGGTTCTGCAAGTCTGCTAAATATTCGCTCTGCCATCTCTTCCAAAAGTGTGTTTTTGCTGCTGATATTCGTTGCCAGCGTTGGGCATGTGCAATGTTTTCGTTCTTTAAAAACGGCTCAGGAATACCTTGTAATGATGTACCAATCAAAAAATGCGCAGGCGTCAGAGATTCGAAATCATTGGGGTTTGTTGAAGTTGCTGTGAGCGGTCGAGAATTCATGATTGCTTCAATCTCGACTAATGATGTTGTAAGTTCTTCGAACGTAAGACGAGCATTACACAATGTGCGATATAGATGGCCTTTGGCAGTTTTTACAGCAGCCTCCCAAAGACCCCCAAAATGTGGGGCGCGAGGAGGAATAAATGAAAATTCTATTCCTAAATTTGCACAGTGAGAAATAATTGCATTTTTCATGCAATCTTGATGAAAATGTTGTCGAAGTTCTATTAATTTTGTTTCAGCACCCACAAAATTTGTTGCATTGTCACAGTGTATTATCCTTGGCAAACCTCGTCGTCCCACAAATCGCTTTAAAGCAGCAATGAATGCATCACTAGTTAAATCAGTGACGGCCTCTAAATGAACTGCTTTAGTAGCAAAACAAATAAAAACCGCAATGTATGATTTATACGGTGCTTTACCACGAATTTTTAAATATGTAAAAATAGGCCCAGCAAAATCAACGCCTGTAACTGTTAAAGGTCTGCTTGGTGTAACCCTTTCTTTTGGTAAAGGTGCCATTATTTGATTGATTAGTTTGACTTTATATCGTGCACAATGGACACATTTTTTTATAACTGAAGTTGCTAATGATTTGCAATTTATTATCCAAAAACGTTGTTGAATAGTTGCAACTAGTGCACGAGGGCCAACGTGATAGTTAACCCGATGAAAGTACATTACCAGATGTCGAACAAATGGTTCATCCTTTGGTAACAACAATTGATGTTTAAATGTTTCTGGTGTATCAGCATTTGTTAGACGACCTCCTACACGTAATAAGAAACAATTTTCGCTTTTATCAATGAATGGCGCTAATGTGGCTAAATTTCCTTTAACATGACCCACCTGTTCCAATTGTTTAATTTCATCACTAAATCTGTATTGCTGAATTACCCACACTACTATATGAAGAGCATTGTCGAGCTCAGTAGCAGAAATGTATTCATTTTTCATTCGAGTTTTAAAGCGGATAATGTAAGCTATTACTCTTAAACATGTTAAGTAGTTACTAATATTGTTTATTTTAAGCAAAACGTATGGTACGGGTTTATTTTCAATTATAAATGCCGTTTTTTTTCTTTCTAAATTGACTTCTTCGTCAGTCAATGAATACGAAGTAAATTCTAAAGGCCAATCAATTTTTGAACTGTTGAGGAACGATGGTCCCGTTAGCCATTGGGACTTAACTAAATCTCGAGTAGAACATCCACGAGATACTAGATCTGCTGGGTTTAATTCTGATGGTATATATCTCCATTCAAAGCCATTAGTCAATTCTTGTATTTCTGCTACTCTATTTCCAACAAATGTTGATAATGTTGAAGAATGAGTATGAATCCAATGCAACGTAATTTGCGAATCCGTCCAAAAAAATACGTTATCAAAAGACCTTTTGAAATTAGGTTGAAGTTGATGCCAAAATTTAGACAGAAGGTGAGCCGCGCAAAGCTCTAAACGGGGAAGTGACCGTTGTTTCAAAGGAGCAATTTTAGATTTGGAAGTCACGAGTTTGGTACATATATTGCCAATTGCATCCGTGCATTTAAAATATATGCAGCAACCATAAGCCTTTGTTGAAGCGTCAGCGAATCCATGAACTTCTATACTGACTGGATTTAACATTAAAACAAAACGAGGAATTTTGGAAGTAGATATTTGTTCAAAATTGATGATAATTTCTCTCCAAGCCTGTGAAATTGTGTCAGGTACTGCGTGATCCCAATCATACTTCAAGATCCACAGTTTCTGAAGAAGTATCTTAGCCTTTATAATAATCGGACTAATCAACCCCATTGGATCAAATAATGCGGCGACTGTAGATAAAATTGATCGCTTGGAAATGGTATTTGAAGAATCATTCAATTTAAAATTGAACGTAAAATAATCATCAATTGGACACCAAATTACACCAAGTGCACTAGTTAGATCACTATTGGTAGTGATGGAGCACGCTGCCGAACAATTTAAATCAGGGTGATTACTATGCCATTTGGATAACGGCATTTGAAAGTATTGAAGTATGTCAGTAACTTCATTTTTAATTTGTTGAAGGTGAAGTAAATCATCAGCCCCTGTTAACATATCATCAACATAAAAATCTTCTTTTATTATTGATTTTCCAAGCTCATGGTTACCAGGATATGTATCGACTGCATAGGATAAACTACGTATAGCTAGAAATGTAGCAGCAGCAGTTCTGTAAGTCACTGTATTTAACATGTATGTTGATACGGGTAATGACTTGTCATTGCGCCAAAAAATTAACTGATAATTCCTATCCTGATGATGTACCATAATCTGACGATACATTTTCGTTATGTCCGCCATAAGTCCATATTTATGGCAACGAAAACGTAGCAGATTAATGAGTAATTCATTTTGTATGGTAGGACCCACTGCAAGGATGTCATTTAGTGAGACCTGTGATGCCGTTTTGAAAGAAGCATCGAACACCACGCGTAACTTAGTTGATTCACTACTTGACTTCAGCACGCAGTGATGCGGAATATAATAATGAGGTATTGATAAATTTGGACTATGAATCAATGACATGTGTCCCAATTCTTCGTATTCTTTCATGAATTTTGAATATTCTTCTTTGAGCTGAATATTCTTTTCAAGCTTTTTTTCCAGAGCATAAAATCGACGTAACGCAATATCTTTAGAGTTACCTAATAAATCTGTACTATTTTTAAATGGTAGTTTTACCATAATTCTTCCATCACAGTTTACAGATACATTATCAATGAAATGTTGTTCACACATGATTTGTTCCTCTGACCATTTCTGACGTTTATTAGAGACGTCTTCTAATTGCCACATTTTTTCAATATTTTTGTTCAAAGCTTCGATTGAAGTGATGGTGCAATGACTGACTGCTTCAATCGGTTTATGTGACAAAGCATACCTTCCGGATACAATCCAACCAAATTCAGTATTTTGTAAAATTGGTAAGTTTTTACCCAAAGACATTCGACCTTGCGTTAACAACAAAAAGAAAGCTTCTGCTCCAAGTAACATATCAATACCTTTAGGAACATTAAATTCTGGATCTGCAAGTTCCATATGTGATGGAATATTTAAATCTTTCAACGAAAATGCTTTATCTGGATGATAGCTACTAATGTTCTTTGAAATGAGAAAATCTAGTGATGTTTCAAACTCGGTTATCCGTGATCGGATTGTAGTTTGCGTATTATGTTGAATTTTCAGCACAGAAGAACCAACACCAACGATATCTATTTCAGATCTCGACCTTTTTAAGTTTAGAGCCCGTGCTAGAGAATCGGTAATGAAATTCACTTGCGAACATGAATCTAAAAGCGCTCGGCCCATTTGGTACGTTCCGGTAAAATCTTTTATGAGAATTAGAGCTGTTGCTAAAATAATGGTACTATTTGTCTTCTTAACACTCCTTTGTGAAGTAGCATGTGTAACTGGATTACTAAGTTGATCATTTCTTGATGATGAAATGTTAGAATTTACAGACGTATTTAAATCATGTTTGTGGAGCAACGTATGATGACGTTGTTTACAAAATCGACAAGAATATTTTGAGCTACATTGTGATACAATGTGGAGGTTTGATAAACAATTGAAACACAATTGGTGCTGTTGTACTTGATCACGACGTTGTTCTAATGGAAGTGCGATGAATTTGATACAAGTAGAAATATTATGACCTAATTTGGAACAATATGTACACGACCTTTCAGGAATATTTTTGATCGCAAATGAATACTGCTTTGGCTTGCTAACCTTTTGTAATGAATGCGGCTGATAAGTTTGAATTGATTGCGGTTTCACATTATGCCTCGTTTGAGCATCGAGTTGTTGGCATCGCTTATCAAGCATAGCACAACATTGTTTCCAAGATGGAAGATTAGAGTAATCTAAATATTCATCCCATTTCTTTTTAGTTTCTTGATCAACTTTGGTAATTGTAAGATGTATGATAATTGCATCACAAATTTTTTCAAAACTTCCAAGTGATTGTAACGAATTGTACAAAGCTGAGATAGTATCAGTGATATGTCTAAGTTGTTTAGAATCAGCCTTAGAAATTTTATCCACTTCGAAAATAGATGAAATGTTTTCTAAAAAAATGATTGTATCATTGTCATACCGCTCTTTCAATCTGTCTAGTGCTTTGCCATAGTTTTCTTCAGTTATTTGGAACGACTTAATTGTTAACAAAGCTTCGCCGGATAGGCACGATAACAGATGGTTGAACTTCTCAATAGGTGGAATGAATTGATCGCTGTGAACTAGATTCGTGAAAGAGTTTATGAAATTTTTATATTCGAGATATTTGCCATCAAATCTCGGCAAACGTAATTTAGGCAAACGATTGTACTGCATTTGAGGCATTGAAAATGTATGTTCATGTGATTGTGAGCTTCTTCTGTTGCCAAGAAGATTTAGAATACGTGATTTTACTATGACATATAATTCGTCAATTTCCGAGCGACATGTATCTTGTGGTAACGAACGTTCAATTTGACCTTGATAATACGATGCTTGTTTATAATACGATTCGACCATACCTAACCTGCACTCAAATTCAGTAGGAGACAAATTATTTGACGCATCAATAATGTTCTTAATTCGTGTAAGGCTCCCCTTTGAAGACGCACGTTGCTGTCTAAGCTCATCTATATTTGGAACAGGATTAGAAACATTATTATTTGAGGCATTACCTTGACTACCGGTATTTGATGATAAAGATGGTTCAGACATTATTACAGCAAATGAAATTATCCACGTAACAGTTCTGTGATCTCTTGTTCACGTTTAACGAAAAAACACCAACAATGCACGAAATCCGTAGGTAAGGTTTCAGTGCACGTTTGTCAACGTTTATGCAAAACGTCTCCTGGCAGGATCGCCAATGTAAAAAAGAGTGAATTGTAAAGTATTCCTAGTTTATGATCAAACCTTGAATAATGAGCTCTTGCACCAATTCACCTCCTTTTTTTTACCCACGGTTCGAATGGGTTTGTTAAAATTGAAAAATAAATTAAAAAATCGACAATTGATATTTCGTTAAGCACGTGAACGCACGAACCATAATTTTATTTCTCGTATATTAAATATAGCAACAACAATGTAAAAACAGGTTTTTAAAAAGAAATACAAATGTTACAAATAAATTGTTACAATTGATTATTCTATCGTGATACAGAACATTTGTTACACTTGATTGATCTCTAATTTAAAAAATAACATTAGTTAATATTAATACATATAAAAAAGAAAAATGTTATGATGCCAAGTTGGCTTAACACCAGGTGTCTTTTTCTTTCTAGAATGACAATTGGATATTTTCTGGGTTGCCATCTTTGTTGTACTGTCGCCACATATGTATATATTTTTACGTATGAAATAACTTTGTGTTATTCTTATGTAATGTTTTTGTTTCATTACCGTTTTTAATTACAACATTGCTGTCTTGTATATCTACTACTTCATATGGACCTACGTATGGACTTGTACCTTTACGTCTATTCTGTGCTTTTACTAATATTTTGTCACCAATCTTCACATTAGTCGGATTGCTACTACTTTTTGATTCTCGGTGTCTTTTGTTTTTAACTTCTATAGTTAGTTTTCTCGCATTATTAAGAGATAGCCTAAGACGTGCTTTCAGTTCGTTAGCATAGTCATCTAGATTGAAATTTCCTTTCGTGGAATTTAAATTTTCGCCTGGTAGTGAAGGTAATTTCCCGAACACTAATTCGTGTGGGGTGTACACAGTGTCTACATGGGGCGTGGTATTATACGTGAATGTATAGTATGGTATCCACTTATCCCAGTTGTCATCGTTTGCGAAACTTAATAAATACTCATTTAGTACTCTATGATTTCTTTCTATTATACCAACTGTTTCGTGGTGATAGAGTGTTGAGAATGTTTGTTTAATATCCATTAGGTCTGTTACTCTAGTCATTAATTCGTTTAAAAATTCTGTACCTCTATCAGATTTTAGAGTTTTAAATGTACCGAATTTTAATATTAACTGTTCCACTAACGTTGTGGCAATGGTTTTAGCATCTTTGGTTACTATTGGGTATGCTATGACGAATCTACTTAGTTCGCATTGCATAGTTAATATATATCTGTAACCGTTTGATGGTCGCAGAAGTCCCACTTTATCGATTTGTACAGTTTTGAATGCTAAATGTGGAGTTGTAGTAACTTGGAGTTCTTCTTTGTTGTGTCTAACTTGTTTATTCTTTTCGCATTTTTCACAAGTTTTAATGAATTTGTGTACCATTTGTTTCATTTTTCTCCAAGTATATCTCTGTTTTAATTTTATGAGAGTTTTTCGTACTCCTAGATGTCCGCTAATAGGATTATTATGAAATTCTTCAATTAATCTATATTTCTTTATCGTATCCGCTACGTTTTCTGGTTTCTTGTATAGCACTTGTTGACGAATCAACAAAAAATTAAGAACTAGGTCATGAGTTAATTGCTCACACCTGTTGCTTAATTTCTTGGTTGACGAATCAACAAAAAGTAAAAATTAGGTCATAAGTAAAGCATTCGCAACTATTGCTTATTAAGCAATTTGTGCGAATTAAGTAATAAACTTTTTTATTTATTGTATGTTTTGCAATTACGGTTGCATTTGATTTTGTATAAAAGAACAAATCAATTTAAATAAAATCAGTTGTTGAAAGTAAATCAACGTCTCACCAATCTTTTATTGTTTCCCCCCACCAGTGGTAAGGGACATAAAGATTGTTAATGAACATTCTTGTTCATTTTTGGTCCTTCGAGCCGGATATTTGAAATTTCCCCCACCAGTGGTAAGAGTTTCAAATATACCTAACAAAGAGACTTAAAGTCTAAGATTGAATTTAATACAAACGTACCGAGGTTTTTAACATCTGAGTGAAGTTAATACAAGCGTACCGAGGCTTTTAATATCGGAGTGAAGTTAATACAAGCGTACCGAGGCTTTTAACATCGGAGTGAAGTTAATACAAGCGTACCGAGGCTTTTAACATCGGAGTGTAGTTAATACAAGCGTACCGAGGCTTTTAACATCGGAGTGAAGTTAATACAAGCGTACTGAGGCTTTTAACATCGGAGTGAAGTTAATACAAGCGTACCGAGGCTTTTAACATCGGAGTGAAGTGAATGCAAACGTACCATCGAAGTGAAACAAGCAGAAGCGTACCAAGGCGCTCAACAAATCAAATCAAATACTAACAGAGGACATCATGGAGATCGAAGAGATAGATCAAGTTATCCAACATCAAAAGGACATTGAAGGTGAGATCCAGAGGATCTGGATAAATTTTAAAAAGGATTCTTCTACAAGATATTCAAAGCAGTATTTTGAGACACGTTTGGAAAATTTGCGTCAGAAATGGGACGCATTTGAAGACAACAATGATAATCTGATCAAGAATTTGAAGCCTGATAATGAATATATCACAAAAAATTACTATGGCCAGTTACAACAAAGACGAAATGAAATCGAAAATCGATTTAATAATGAATTGGAAATAATAAGGCAAATGGAGCAAAAGGAAGCTCAAGTTTCAAGGCATCAAGTTATAAGAGGGCAAGAAGAAGCTCGGTCACTAAGAAATCAAGACATAAGTATCAATGACGAAGTCACCATCACCGGGCCATGTGATATTACGAACAAACGTTTAGCAATCTTAAGTACAAGTCTGTTGCAGATCAAAGAGACAATAGACTTAACGAAAAGTATTTAAACGTTACAGTTCAAATTGGAAAAATTGAAGAATTGTTGGGCAAAGATCTCACAATTAAACGATGAATGTCTGTTTAACAATGATGAAATAGACCAAGGAGATTTCATTCAACTGGAATCGATATACGAAGAAGTATATATCCAGTTACAAGAAGAACTGAACGTTCGCAGTCAAAATGTTTCAGAAACTAGAACAACCGTAAGTAACAATATCAAACTACCACCGTTGAATGTACCCATATTCAACAGCAGATTTGAAGAGTGGTGTCCATTTTGGGAATTGTTAGTTCAACAAAACCATAATCTAGTGGATGTAGAAAGAATGCAGTACTTAAAAGGAAGTCTACGGGGAGAAGCCGCCAGACTTATCAATCATTTAACAATAACAGCGAACAATTATACAGCGGCAGTTGAACTACTGAAACAAAGATACAACAATCCAGCAATACTTGTGGACAATCTTATCAATAAGTTATTGTCGCTCAGAGCTATAAGAAATGAGAATGCACAGGATTTAAAAACATTAGTGGATTCTTCTAGAGAAGTGTTATATGGTATACGTAATTTAAATGTGGACACGTCAAGTTGGGATCCACTAATTATACAGATACTGCTTCCAAAATTAGATGGTGAAACCAGAAAATTATACCAACATTCAAGAGGGGCATCAACACAAATACCAAAATTGAGCAGCTTATACGAGTTTATCGAGAGCAGAGTTAGAGGATTGGAGGCAATTCGAGACACAAATCGCGAAAATAAGAATAATTTTCGACCAACAGCAGTTAATACAAAAACGCATGTAAATACAATACATACGCTATGTTTAGTGTTTAATGGTGACCACCAATTAATTCGATGTTCAAAGTTTCTGAATATGAAGGTGCCGGAACGTCGTGAAAAGATTATGAGCGCCAAATTATGTTTTAATTGCCTTCAGAGTGGGCATTTTAGTAAGTTGTGCTTGAATAAAAAAAGATGTGCAATTTGCGACAAAAAACACCATCAACTTATTCATGAACAAGTTAAGGGCAAACCAACAGTCACAAATAACATAAGTAAACAGAGGATGCCAACATTGAAGAACACCACAGAGACCGAAGTGACAGCGTCGTACAACATCCAAAAGGAAAAAACTGTTCTACTAGCAGCAGCAATGGTAATTATAAGGACTAAAAAACAAGTTAATCCGATACGAGCGCTTCTTGATCAAGGATCACAATCTTGTATAATAACAGAACAATTAGCAAGATCAATCAGAGCACCATTGACCAATTATCAAACTCACGTAAAAGGTATCAATGGACAAACAACAAGCGTTATAGCCAAATGTTCATTAGAAATTCAATCTATACATGATGAAAATAAGAGCTGTCATATCGAAGCAATAGTGTTACCAAAAATCACATCAAAAATGCCAAATGCAGAATTCACGCCAGGAAAATGGTCGCATATTGATGGATTGCAGTTAGCAGATCCTTGGTATGCTGAACCAAAGGAAATACAATTGTTAATCGGGTCGGACGTATTACCAGAAGTGTTTAAAGAAGGATTAATTAAAGGACCAGACAACTCTCCAATGGCTCAAAACAGGACCTTTAGATGTAGAGCGTACAATCACAAACAAAATAATGTTATGCTCCATGGCTTGCGAAAGCAGCGACGAGTATTTAAAACGGTTTTGGGAATTAGAGGAAATTCCAAATGCAGACTTAAGAACAGTAGAAGAAAGGCATTGTGGGCGACATTATGATTCAACTTGCACCCGCGATAAAACAGGACGATACAACGTTAGGTTACCACTGAAAAATGATCGAGAAACGTTAGGTAAATCCAGAAAGATGGCATTAAAACGGTTCTTTTCATTGGAAGAACGATTTAAGAAGAATCCAGCACTAAAGCAAGAGTATGTGAACTTTAGGCGAGAGTATATCAAGCTGGGTCACATGAAGGAAGTTAATGAAAAACCAAAGACAAAGGTATATTATTTGCCGCATCATGCAGTTATTAAAGAAGACAACACGACAACAAAGTTTCGGGTGGTGTTTGATGCGTCCGCAAAAACGACATCAGGACAATCACTGAACAGTATTATGATGACAGGTCCTACATTACAAAAGGATTTATTCATTCTATTATTGCAGTGGAGAATGTTTAAAATAGTTTTTACGGCTGACATTGAAGAAATGTATCGGCAAATACTGATTTATCATGATGATAGAGATCTTCAACGAATTTTATTGAGAAACGATCAGAAAAAACCAATAAAAGAATACAAATTGAACACGATTACATATGGTACTGCATCAGCACCATATCTTGCCATCAAGACGTTGTTAAAATTAGCAGAAGACGAGAGAACTAATTATCCTTTGGCAAGTGAAACCTTAAATGAAAAATTTTATGTAGACGATTGTTTGGGAGGCGCTAATACGATTAAAGAGTGTAAACAAGTACAAGAAGAATTAATCCAATTATTGCGGAAGGGAGGTTTTAATTTAAGAAAATGGGCATCAAACGAACCGGAAATGTTGGTGAATATCCAGATAAAAGACATTGAACCAGGGTTAGAGATGCAATTTAACAACGACCAAGCGATTAAAATTTAAGGAATAAAATGGTGTCCTAAATTGGATCAATTTGAATTTAAAATAAATACCACGTCATTCAGCTCAAAATACACAAAAAGAGCAATTCTAAGTGATGCTGGAAAACTATTCGATCCATTTGGTTGGTTGTCACCTGTAACCATTAAAGCAAAAATTATGATACAAAAATTGTGGATGCTAGGAATTAGTTGGGATACAGAGATCCCACCCAATCTACAGGCACAATGGGAAGAATTTAAATTGAGATTACCTGCAGTTCAGAAAATAACCATGAAAAGATGGACACAACATTCAGAGAATAGTTTAATCGAGTTACATGGATTTGCAGATGCGTCAGAAGCAGGATATGCTGCAGTTGTATATACAAAGGTTATCAATGCAGAAAAGGTTACAATATCCCTAGTAGCATCAAAAACCAAAGTTGCGCCTATTAAGCAGGTATCATTAGCCCGATTAGAGTTATGCGCAGCTGTGCTATTGATAAAGTTGATTAATTACATTCAGAAGAATAACAAGATTACCTATAGTAAAGTTATTGCATGGTCAGATTCAAAAATTGTATTAAATTGGCTAAGGCAATACCCAAATAGATGTACTACGTTTGTAGCAAACAGAGTATCGTATATTCAGGATACGTTTAAAGGGCAATTTAGATTTGTTCCAGGAAAAGATAATCCAGCAGATATTCCATCAAGGGGAGTATATGGTGACAATCTTATTTCAAATATATTATGGTGGCCAATTTGGACCATAAATTGGCTAATAAAAGATGAAAGAAATTGGCCAGAAAATGACGAAGTAATAGATTTGAATCTTATTCCGGAAACAAGAAAAACTGCAATATGTAACGTCGTGGACGTTACCAAAGATGAAAATATTATTAATCGATTTTCTTCATTAAACAAACTTCTTCGAGTGACAGCTTATTGTCTTAGATTCGTTTATAATTGTCATAAAAAGAAATCCGTAAGAAAGATCGACAATCTGTCGGCAGACGATATCGATGCAGCGGAAATTGTGTTGGTGAAGCAGGCAGAAAAATGTTTTTCAGATGACATCAGACGGCTTAATCTTCAGAAACAATTAATGAAAAGTAATAAGTTGTGTTCATTAAACCCATTTGTTGACAGTGCAGGAGTACTAAGAGTGGGCAGCAGATTAAGAAATGCAGATTTATCTGACAACCAAAAGTATTCAATCATTTTACATACAACGAGTACTTTGGCCAAACTCATAATCAATCAGGAGCATATTAATACGATTCATGGAGGATTAAAACTGACGCTAAACTACGTTCGGGAAAAATTTTGGATTATTCGTGGAACAATCGCTGTGAAAGCTTGCATCAATAAATGTTTAAAATGTTTTCGAATAAAGGCAAAAGGACAATCTCAATTAATGGGAAGTTTACCAACACCAAGAGTAAATTTCTCGAGGCCATTCACACACTGCGGCATAGACTATGCAGGGCCATTACACATTAAATGCTCGCAATTCAGGGGAATTAAAACACATAAGGCATATATAGCTATTTTTGTATGTCTGGCATCTCAAGGATTTTTAGCAGCACTCAAACGAATGATAAGCAGACGTGGCTCAGTACATCATATTTATAGCGACAATGGTACCAATTTTACAGGTGCAAACAACATTTTACAGAAGATTCAAATAGAGAATCATCTAGCTGAAACAGGTATACGTTGGCATTTCATCCCTCCTGGCTCACCTCACTTTGGTGGCCTCTGGGAATCGGGAGTAAAATCCATTAAATATCATCTAGCTAGAATTATAGGTGACCAAAAATTGACATACGAGGAATTAAGTACGGTCTTAATTCAAATCGAATGTTGTCTTAATTCACGGCCACTCTGTCCATTAACAGACAACATTGAAGATCTTAATGCACTTACACCAGGACATTTCATTGTGGGATCGTCATTAATGACTCTTCTACCAATCACTGATAGTGTAAAAGAAGGTCATATTCCGTCAAACCAGGAGAAGTTCCCAAAATTATTTAAAGAAGCAACATTAATCAAAGCAGAACCAGACACTCAAAATATGTTACCATTTGGAAACACTATCAGAAATAAAGAAGTAGTTTCGACAAAGTCTACTGCAGGAGATTAGCAACATTAGCAACATTAGCAACACCCACTGTAACATATCCCGAATCAGGATTATTCATTGAAGGATTAGGTAAAGCAAAAATACAAAGAGGAACACTTAGAACCACTATCACATTTCCAATCCGTGACATAATTCAAGATCAAAGGAACGTTAATAACACCATAAAACAATTAACAATGTTGTGTACCAAGTCAAAGGCTGTCAATCCTTATATACAATGTGACGATTTAGTTTCCAATTTAAGTCATGAAGGGCGCACCTTAAGAACAACCATTGATTGATTGTTGACGGCAGAATCATCAGTTACAAGAAGTCCCCGAGGAATATTAGGTACAGTGTTAACAACACTTTTTGGTGTAAACGATGAAGTGTATCACGACATTGAAACGCTAGATCAAAATCAGAAATTATTGATCCAAAATACTAAATCAAATGCTAGAATCATGATATCCACAATAGCGGCAGTAAACAACACAGAAACTAAAATCATCAACAAAATCAACAGCTTTAGTAAAAGACTAAACGAAGGATTGCAGGCTATCAGTCAGATGCAAGGTTGGCATGATATCGGAGAAGGAAATAAACTGAATATATATGTACTTAATTCATATATAATGGCATCCAATTACATTCGAGAAGTAGAATCAAAATATAATAAGATCTTCAATGTATATTTAAAACGCAGTCATATTTATGAATTCCTTTCGCATGATGAAATCAATGATATTATAACTCGATGTTCCTCAAAAATTGGACCAGAAATGTATGTCTTACCAATTCCGATGAACAGATTGGAATATGTTCGGGATACTGACAACGTTATAATTTATGGTTATTTCACAATCAGCGATATAGAAGAATATGAAATCATTAGATTCAACACGATTCCAGAAAGAATTAATGATAATATATTATCAAGAAATCGAATTGTTAACATCCACATTTGGCATCAATTATAGCAGTAAAAAATATTTTGACGTTACTATCAGCCAAATGGAGACTGCAACCAAGCTGAATAATGGTACTAGGTTCATCCAACAATATTTTACAACATTGACGAGAGTTCCAATTGTGTAATTAAGCAATTGTATAATAAATTAACATTCGATAACTGTCCGTCAAAAAGATTTCAAGTTATACAACCAGTTTGGAAAGAGCTTTGGACGCCCAATGCTTGGATATTCATTACACCAAATTTAACGACAATTCATGTAATTTGTCACATTGAACGTGAAGAAGTAGTTCTGAATTATACGGGAATCATTCAGATTTCTCCAGATTGTGTAATACATTCTAAGACTATTCAACTGGAAGGAAGAATGATGAAAGAATTTCAATCAATCACACACCACGTTAAACCAATCAGCATGCAAAACATATCAATACCTGACATTTCAATGCATAAAATTACAAATGAAACCGTTATCCCATTGGTGCAAGATTTATCAACTATGCTTTTGTACTCCGCAAGGGATGCTCAAGACAACATGGACCAAGTCAACGAAATATCTTGGAAAGCAATAATGACTCATCAATATTGGAAGAAATGGGTCATCGGGGTTACAGCTATAATAATAATCATATTCGTTGGAGTATTATATTACATGTGTTACATTAAACCGAGAATACCATCAACATCAGCCAATAATCATACATCACCGTCCACTTACGATGTCGCTTGGTCTTGCACATAAACAACAACCTGCTGAGGCTACCAAATCTAGACCAACTCGTAATACCAACGCAGAGCCGGCATAATGTTGACGAATCAACAAAAAATTAAGAACTAGATCATGAGTTAATCGCTCACACCTGTTGCTTAATTTCTTGGTTGACGAATCAACAAAAAGTAAAAATTAGGTCATAAGTAAAGCATTCGCAACTATTGCTTATTAAGCAATTTGTGTAAGTAATAAGCTATTTTATTTATTGTATGTTTTGCAATTACGGTTGCATTTTATTTTGTATAAAAGAACAAATCAATTTAAATAAAATCAGTTGTTGAAAGTAAATCAACGTCTCACCAATCTTTTATTGTTTCCCCCCACCAGTGGTAAGGGACATAAAGATTGTTAATGAACATTCTTGTTCAGCACTATTACTAATTTTTTTTTGTTTTTATTTTTTTGTTGCAACTCATTTATCATATCTTTAAATTCTTTTTTATCCATGGACTCAAATATTCTATCGTTGTCTGCTAATGCTAACTGCAATACATTTAGTTTTTATACTTGACATCACCCTCAATATATCGCCTAACTCTAGGACAACTTCTTTATCGTCGCAATATATAGATGCATCTTTATTATTCTTTAATTTTTCTTTAGATTTAAACTGCAATTTTCTCATTCCTCTTATATCACTTATAGAAGTACAATCCCAACAGTAGAGTTGATCAGGCTCAGTGGTGTTTGTATCTAATAGTGTCTTTGAAGAGTTCGCGACTTTTGTTTTGCTACGAGTGGCTATACATACTCGAGCATTTTCTTTTATAAGTTTTAAAATTTCATCTTCTTGCGAATTATTTAGCTTGCGGTTGGACATCTTATCATCATGTATTGGTATCAATGTTTTCAGTGTATTAGAATCTATTTTAAATCTAGATAAAGCATCTGCATTGGTGTTGATTTTTCCTTTCTTGTATATTATTTTAAAGTCGTAGTCAGACAAATCTACACGAATCCTAGTCATTTTTGAAGAAGGATTCTTATGAACGAATAAAGAGATAAGGGGTCTATGATCAGTGATAACATAGAATCGTTTACCATATACATATGGTCGAAAGTAATTTATTGCCCAATGTATAGCAAGAAGTTCCTTTTCAATAACTGGCTTGTTCAAGTCGTGTTTTTGTAAGGCTTTACCTGCATAACATATTGGCAAATCAGAACCAATTAGAACCACAGATGCATAGTCTGAAGCATCTGTGGTTATTATGAATGGTTTATCGAAGTCTGTGTACCTAAGAATTGGTGGACTTATTAATAATGGATTTAAGTGTTTCGAAAGCAATGTCACAATCTGAATTCCATTCAAATGTTTTGTTCTTTTTTTGCAACTGGTTTAAAGGTTTTGCTATTAATGCAAAATTTTTGATGAATCTTCTATAATAATTGCAGAAGGCTACGTATCTCCTCACTTCGTCAACGTTTTTCGGTTTGGGATACTCTTGTATAACCTTATGCTTCGCTGGATCAGTCTTGACGCCTTGCTCTGTTATTAAATGTCCTAGATATGTGACTTCATGCTTTAGAAAATTACATTTCTCAGGATTTAGTTTTAAATTGTATTCGCTCAATCTTTTGAAAACTTTTTCTAAATTGATGTTATGGTGTTTTAAACTATTGCCAAATATTATGATATCGTCGACATACAGAAAAGCTTCATTATCTGTTAATGCCTGTTAATGCTAATGTTAGCATTCGTTGAAATCTGTTTGAACTGATCTTCAAACCAAAAGGTAGTCTTTTGAACTCATAGTGGCCGTCAGTAGTAGAAAATGCAGTTTTTTGTCGAGATTTCATGTCTATTGGTATTTAGTGAAAGGAGCTAGTCATATCTAATGTAGAGAAATATCTAGCTCTACCTAGCTTGTCTAATACGTCTTCGAGACGTGTCAATAGGAATTTATCGTTTACTATTTTATCATTTAATTTCCTGTAATCAATCACAAGTCTCCACTTTTTATCATCATTTGATGATTTTTTTGGTACTAACAATATCGGTGAATTGTATGGACTTTTTGATGGCTGAATGATATCATCTTCTAATAATTTATTAACCTGGGATTTAATGTTATCATTTTGGCTATGTGGTATTCTACAATTTTTGATATAGATTGGCACGTCATCTGAGGTAGAAATTTGTACCTTATGGAAATTGTTGCATGTTAATGGTTCTCCTTCCATAAGGAAAATGTTTTCGTATGTGGTTATTAATGGGATTAGGGTTTCGTCGTCACATTTTTGTGTGTTATTCAACTGTAATTTATGTAATAGATTTTTTAACCTGATATTATTGTAATTTACTTTGTGTTTATTACTAAAGTTATTGTAATACTTTAGTGGACGTGTATCCATATTTAATTTATTGAGGGTGATGTCATGCTCGTTCGTATATAATATACGAATGTGACAATTTTCTTCAGCTGGAACTATTGTGTTGGCAATGAAGACGCCTTTGGCGATTTCTTTAGAAATCAACAAAGTGTCTTCGTGAAAATGCATGTCTGAGGGTAAAATGTGTTCAGTTCTTGCTTCTAATACTATTGGTTTATACTGTATGGGAACTGTATGGGATTTTTAATTATAGATACATCAGCTCCTGTATCTAATAATAATTTTATATAGGTGTTAGTATTTCTGCTATAAATTTCGATGTAATTAGACTTGTTTGTGTTATATGTGTAGAATTTTGCTTTTGTTGTACCAGAGGGAAATTCTACTGGTTTTCCTGGGTTGTGGTCACGTGTATACGTCGCGTGTTTCTGTTGTTGTAGCCTCTTTGGTTATCACGCTGATTTCTTTGCCCGTTATTGTTATGTTGGTTTCCTTGATTGTGTCCTCTTTGATTATGGTTGTATTGGCTTCTGTTGTTGTAGCCATTATTGTATTGATTTCTATGATTTAAGTTATTGTGGGTATAATTATTATAATTATTATGTTAGTTCCTTTGCCCAACATTATTGTACTGATTCCTGTTATTATTGTTTCTATAACTTTGATTTTTATTGGTATAATTTCTATTATTATTATTCCGATTATTGTATTGTGATCTATTACCATGGTAATGGAATATACTCTGATGTTTTTCTGGAAAGACTATGCCTTCAGCGATTTCTCTCGCTTCTTGGAATGTCTTCGGGTTTGATGACTGTACGGATAATGAGTAGTTTGCGTTTAGTCCCTTTTTGTATGCTAATAATACGTTGTCTTCATTGGTAAGTAAAATCCCTTCAGCTTGTGGAGATGAAGTATTATAGTTCCTCTTTAATAATGAAG